CAGAGATGTGTATAAGAGACAGGATACACTATGCATTAATATGATTAATTAAATACATATATTATGTATAAGTTTATATGTATCGTCGAAATTAAGAAAATTTAATAGAAAGTTACTAGTTAGTACGTGTATCAAATACTCGGTGTAAACTAGGCCAGTGAGAACGTACCCTAATGCGCACCAAACTTAATATGTGTACCAACTATGAAGTAAGATTATTCATACTTCATGGTACCAACGTTTTAATGATGTAAAACTAGAATACGCCAACTGTTGTTTATTATTCTAGTCTTGCCCACATGCCTTTGTAATATTTGCTAAATAAGACAGATTGTCAGAACTTTAAAAACAATCATGTTGAATATACTGAAGTGCTATCTCCCTAATCATGGTTTGCGTCAATTGAAAAAATTGTCAATTTATTCTTCATTGAAATTATATTTATCCACCTCGACAGTCACTATGACCAATAAGGTATATACACGACCATCTTAAAAATATTTCAGTCTTGTTATATATATCTTTTATATAACATTTTTAATAAGACTTATTGGCGTTTTATCTCTCTCTCTCTCTCTCTCTCTCTCTCTCTCTCTCTCTCTCTCTCTCTCTTATTATTTTCTATCTCTTATCATTTTTATTAAAAACTTATAATAATATATCGTTAATTCTATTTTATAAAATATATGAATTATTATAAACGAATTGTCATGATAGTAAAATTATAAGTACATTTAAAAAATAATAAAAATGTAATAAATGTTAAAATAATTTTTTATGATGTATACCTATATGTAAGTTTTACTTACACACACATCTTGCTTATCATGCTTATCATCTATGCAGAAACGAGAAACTTCTACATTCTATTGACTTTCAGTCTTTCTGCCAACGTGTTACTGACTACATCTAACATCTTACATAATCCTTATAATGGTGAACAAGTTTAAACTGTACTTTTATATTTGTATATAACAGAACAAAGCAATAATCTACTATTCTTTTTAATATTTTTCAAACTATGAAAATAAGGAGAAAAATTGAATATATAATTTCTAATAAAAGTTACATGGTAAAGCAAGAAATCGTCATGTCTCTCAAACATATCTCTGTATTTGTTTTTTAATTTGCTTTCAAGATTAAAAAAAAATTTTTTAATTAATTTTTTATATAAGTATATTTTCCTTTAATTTTCTGCATATCAAAATGATACTAAACTATACTGTTATCAAAATGATACTAAACTATATTGTTATAAACTATACTGTTATAAAATTATGAACAATTTGAATTTTTTTATATATTATTTTAACAAAATATGAAATATATTGTTTAATTTGCTTTTATAATTTTATACACAAAATAATTAAATTATTCAATTATATCAATATAAAAAAATTCATACTTGCATTAAAAATATATAATTATATATTGGAAACCGCATACTTTTTTTAAGCAATATATTTTTTTATATCAATTATTTATCTCATTGTATGCATAAAAATATTATAATAAGATCATAGAAAAATGTTTTATGTCAAAATAAATGACAAAAGATTTAGTAAATTATTTATTTTTCTTTAATCTTATTTTAAAATTTATATAGGAATATTTAAATTGATTTATCTAAGAAAATCTACATAGTTTGAATTAAAAAAGAAATAAAGATAATCTTTAGATTTTAGAAATATGAAATCTAAAATTAATTAAAGATTAGTAATTAAATACAATTAAAGATAAAGATTATCTACAGAAATCAAACATTATCGCCTCAAAATGATATCTTGTAAAGCAACTTTTGTTAAATTTGTTAAATTCTCCTGCTCTCAATACTTCTACAATTTCAAATATATTAAAAATGATAATTGTTTTATCCTGTATAATAAATAAACGCATACATATATACATAATAGACAATATGCCTACATAATATACAATACATGTACATAATATACATGTACTTATTAATTATATAAATTTACATATTATACTTTAAAATTTTTATTAATCATATAAATTTTATATATTATTACATATTTTATATTTGTATTATCATACGAATATATAATTACAAATTTTGTATGTGTAGGAATATAAGAATTACAGAATTGAGAGAGATACATTTGGAGAATTAAAAGTTCCTACAGACAAATATTATGGCGCACAAACTCTTCGAGCAATGATGAATTTTCCAATTGGTGATACATTTGAACGTATGCCTGTAAGCAACAAATTAAAAAAAAATTTATTTGTTAAATTAATGCATTTTCTCCTCTTTTCTTACATTTGAAATAACCAATGATTATTTTTATAGTGCAGGCTGATTATAGCTATGGGTATATTAAAAAAAGCTGCCGCAGAAATAAATAAAGAATATAATTTGGATCCTAGAATTGCTGATGCCGTTAGTAAGGCAGCAGATGACGTAATAAGCGGAAAGTTGTACAATGATCACTTTCCCTTAATTATTTGGCAAACTGGATCTGGCACACAAACTAACATGAATGTCAATGAGGTTAAATATTATATTAATTTTAACATTACTGAATTATATAATTATTGTAATAAATAATGATAATTATCATCCTATGAATAACTATTTAATTTAACAAAATATATTAAAAATATTTTAGGTTATTGCCAATCGTGCAATTGAGATACTTGGTGGCGAACTTGGCTCAAAAAACCCTGTACATCCAAATGATCATGTTAATATGTCGCAGAGTAGCAATGATACGTTTCCAACAGCTATGCATATAGCTGTTGCCTTAGAGATTCATAAAGTATTGATTCCAGGTTTAGAAGAATTACATAAAACATTGAAAGAAAAAGCTGATGAATGGAAAGATATTATAAAAATTGGTAGAACACATACCCAGGATGCAGTACCATTGACATTGGGTCAAGAATTTTCAGGTTTATATTTATTCAAACTATTTTAGTTTGGAATAATTTATAAGATACACACACACACACACACACACCCCACACATACACACATGCATACACACACAGGATGAGACGCTTAAACAGGCCACCTCAATAATTTCTGAATGGTTCGAGATATTGAATTGAAATTTATAAGGTTACAATGACATCATGAAATCTATTATTTAATCGTGAAAACACCGATTTTAATCCATCCAGGGGGAAGGAGGTTTGAAAATCTTAAATGGCATGTGGGGTTAAGTGAGGACTCCTTTGAATGAATTTTTTAAGACAAGAAAAACGCGAGGTCGTTGAGGTCTCTAAAATTTTTTTTACCACCATTTAAGATTTTCAATCTCCCTTTTCCCCCGTCTTCCCTGGAAGATTAAAGTCGGTGTTTTCAAGATTAAATAATAAATTTCATGATACCATTGTAACCCTATTAATTTCAATCTAATGTTCGAACCATTTCAGAAATTATTCAGATGGCCTGTTTTAAGCGCCTCATCCTGTATGTATATACATATGTATATATATATATTTTTTGCAGGATATGCTACACAGATGGAATATGGTATTAAGAGAGTAAGAGATACACTTCCAAGATTGTATCAGTTAGCTCTTGGTGGTACAGCAGTCGGAACTGGATTGAATACGCGAAAGGGCTTTTCAGAAAAGGCAGTTGCGAAAATTGCGCAACTCACTGGTTTACCATTTATCCCTGCTCCAAATAAATTTGAAGCTCTGGCTGCGCATGATGCAATTGTTGAAGTACATGGCGCTTTTAATACAGTAGCTGTTTCTCTAATGAAAGTAGGCATTAATACATTTAATATCATTAATGCTATTTAAACAATGTATTTATAGTCTACTCTATTGATTATTTATAGTTCTACTGATATTTTTTAATATAATTTTCATAGATTGCAAATGATATTAGATTCCTTGGAAGCGGGCCTAGATGTGGTTTAGGAGAATTATCTCTTCCAGAAAATGAACCTGGAAGTTCTATTATGCCTGGGAAAGTAAATCCTACACAAACTGAGTCAATGACCATGGTGTGTAGTCAAGTAATGGGCAATCATGTTGCAATAAGTATCGGTGGCAGTAATGGACACTTTGAACTTAATGTTTTTAAACCAGTTATGGTCGCAAATACTTTGAGATCTGCAAGATTATTAGGTGATGCCTGTTCTTCGTTCGCAAAAAATTGTGTCGTTGGCATTGTTCCGAATATTGATAATATAAAAAGGAATGTGAATGAAAGTTTGATGCTTGTCACAGCATTGAATCCACATATTGGATACGATAAGGTATTTATAAATTTTTGTTTCTTTAGAACACGGAGATGAAAATTCCTTATAGTATATATATAAGAATTACTAATATTTTTGTAAAGATTTAACTTTATATAATTTTTTGTATAGGCTGCTACAATCGCAAAATATGCGCACAAAGAAAAACTTACGCTAAAAGAATCTGCATTAAAACATGGAATAACAGCGGAACAATTTGATCAATGGGTTAGACCTGAACAGATGCTTGGGCCGAAATAATTTCTACATTAAAAATATTTAATAGAAATAAATATGAAGAATATGTCATTATGTACTTTTTGTAGAATTTCTTCATTCTACTTTTCCTATGTTCTAAATTTTCCTCTATTTTAAGTTAGTTTTTCTCTGGTAAAAGTTCCTTTTGTTTTACTCTTTTACACTTGTTATTAATTAAAGAATTTTAGAATGAGAAAACAAAAATGATAATATTGCACATTTTCATTTTACATACGCACATTATAGAGTAAGAACAGTGTTTTAAAAGTATAAATTTCTATGTGTGTTTTAGAAATTTAAAAAAGGAGAAATTTGTTTTCAATGATTCTAATATGGATAGTCGATTGTATTTCATTTGTATCTTTTTGTTATTTACATTAGTAAAATATGAAACAAAGAAATATTACTAATAATAATTGTAATATCACAAAAAAATACATTTTACATATTTTACATGTAATACAAAAGTTATTAATTTCATATTCTCAATATGAAAATTATTGGTATATTATATAATTCAAATTCTATAGTTTATTATTGTGTGATAAATCATTGTGAAATTATTTTATAAAAGAGTTATGACTAATAAATACTTGTACTTTGTTTATTTGAGCATTACACAAATTTGAAATGATTAATATTCACTTAATTTTTATAATTAATATACGTTTATACATTTTATATATACATCATGGGACTCGGTCGTATCTCAGACGTCTTCGGTACACAAATACAATATGTATGAGACACATATACATACTTTAATACTTATATCTACTGCTCATGTTTATTGTTGATTATGGTTTTTTGCTCCATCTATGTCGTCAATAAGATTTCCATATCAGACTGCAGTATATAGCATAGGTCAAAGAACAGATTATTTTTTCTATATAATCACAAGTAACTCTACAACAAGATAGAAAGTTCAAAATGAATATATTGACTAAAGCTCGCATAATTTCTAGTAAGTTAGGTAATTACTATTATAGTGGAAAAGTTGGTATAATCGGAGTACCTTTTGATAAAGGACAGGTAAATATAAAATATGTGAAATGTGAATAGTAAACAATTTTAATCTTGATATCCAATAACTGCATGTTTTAAATAAAGGATTAAAGGATTAAAAGATAAGAATATTAAATGTTATACTATGATTTATACAGAAAAAAGAAGGAGTAGCATGTGGACCTGAGGCAATTAGAGCAGCAAGACTGATAGATGAATTGAAAATATTAGGTAAATTTATGCAAGGATGTATATTTATCTTTTGTATAAACATAAATATAATTGTAAGTTAACATAATTTATATTTATTCCGTAAAAAAAAGAGTTGGATGTGCGAGATTATGGTGATGTGCTTTACAATGCAAATAACATAAATGATGTAAAAAATATGTCACATTTGGGCCATGTGGCTAGCTGTATGAGTAATTTATCTGAACAAATTCGACAAGTATTACGTGATGGCAGGCAAGCATTAACAATCGGTGGTGATCATAGCTTGAGCATCGGTACAATCGATGGACACGTCAAGGTAGAAAAAAGAAATATTTTTTAAATAAACTAATAATTTATTGAATCTAAATGTTATATTTTTTTCATAGGAAAGACAAGATGTGGCAGTAATATGGGTAGATGCACATGCAGATTTAAATACTAACAAAACTAGTGAGAGTGGTAATGTGCATGGAATGCCTGTAGCATTGTTAACTTTGGAGCTAGCTGATTATTGGCCGTATTTACCAGGAATGGACTGGCAGATGCCAATGTAAGAATATCACAACATTCAAGCATTTTTGTTAATTTATTTTTTAAATTATGCAAATTAATTAAAATGAATTAAATATAAATTGTTACTTACAAATATAAATAAAAAATAAATTTAATCAGTGTATTATTTTTTTATAGATTATCTATTAGAAACGTGGCTTATATTGGTCTGAGATCCATAGATCGCTATGAAAGATTAATAATTGAAAAATTTGGTATTACCGCTTATGGAATGGAAGATATAGAACGTTATGGTTCGGATGTGAATAATTATGCAGTGATCACATAAAATGTTTAATATATTTGACTAATATTTTTAGGTATTCACGACGTGATGCATATGGCACTTAATAAAATAGATCCTCATAACTCAAGATCTCTACACGTTAGCTTTGATATAGATGCATTAGATCCACTCGAAGCACCCAGTACTGGAACACCAGGTTTGCATCACAATTATGTTGAGTGTACACAAGTATTACTCTTATTAAATCCTTATATTTGCATATTTATATAGTACGTGGAGGACTGTCTCTTAGAGAAGCAATTCATCTGATGGAAGAGATATCTAGAACACATAGATTGAGAGCTATCGATTTAGTGGAAGTTAATCCACAAATTGGTAGTGAACATGATGTGAAAATGACTGTACAAGCAGCAATACATATTATCCAAGCAGCTTTGGGCTATACAAGACGCGGTTTGAGAGTACCTAAAGATGTTACTGATATGCCTTTACAAACATTTCATTAATATCTATATATATATTTTAATTATCTTTTTATTCTCATTTTAATTTGTTTTCAATTGCAATACTACTTAACTATTTTATATAATCAAATAATTATCTGTAATATTTTCACATAAAAATAAATTTTTTCGTAATACAAATTTGTCATTATTTTAACTTATATTTCATATTGTCTTATTACAAACGTCTTTCCAGGTATATTATCAAATGTAATTTCAATTTTAGACGCCTCAGGCTTGTTTTCAAGTTTATGGTTTAATATTACTTCGTAATATAATTTTCCCTTAGTATTGGTACCTGTAAGCGGAATTTTAAACCATTTGTAACTTTGTGTAATTTTTGTATCTTCATGTTCAAGCATTCGATGTCCATCACCATAACTGATACGGCCCAACATTATAGGTTCTCCAAGATATGGTACAGCTTTTTTATGTGCACGTAGAGTATTCATAACATCTTTATAAGTTTCACTTTCTTTAATATCATATTGTATGCGATAATAAAAAGCATAACCTGTAGTTGCTGTTACAAATCCTCCCAAGCTCGCTATTTTTAAAAGTGTTTGATTTGATACCATATCTGTAATAAAATAATTATAACTTATTTTGAAAGGTATATTCTTTCGTATCCATAAATCATTTCTTTTATTATACCTAAGATAATTAAGGACCGGTAGAAGAGACAGGCAAATTTATTTACACCTCATGTACACTTTATTCACGGTGCAGATACATATCTGTACTTTACTATATTTTGTCTCTTAAAAGTAATATTTTATTATGAAACTTCTTTTAGCTTATTTCTCTCTTACGAAGGTACAAAAGCTGCTAAAGAGCCAGATTTTGCAATTCCACTCTTAATAAGTATTACAAAGGAAAATTACCAGCTGTTCCTTAATTAATTGTGGTGTAAAATCGAATCTCATATTTTCTTTCGTAGAAGCAATATTTTGCAACGAGCTTTTCATTGAGGAAAATTATTTATATTTTATGAAGTTGCTAAACCTTCCACAAAGCTGGATTTTACAATTTGGTTTTTAAATAATATAAATAAAATTATCTGCACCTTAAAGCACGATAGTGCAGACATCAGAATAAAATTTTATTTTGCTCATTTTTTCCAAAAAATCACTCTGTAGAGAGATACAAGCAATTTTCCTGATTACGAATATTACAATTATATTGCGATTTCATCAATATAGGTCTGGAGCACATGAAATGCATAAAGCCGGTTCTAGGTAGAGTCCTAGATTATCAGAGAAGCGCGACCGGCTTATGGCAGTATCGCAAAAGTACTAGAAAATATTAAAAATGGCGTCGAATGGCCAATAATAA